CTTTTGGAATTACAAAAAGGAGAATCAAAATGATAACTGATAGATAGGTGACAGCATGGATGCCTCCATCCCGGAGCGGTTTCTGCCCTCTCAACAATAATTTGGAAAGTGTTTAGGTGTGATGTGATTAAAATGGCATTTGGAATTATAAGAGTAGGTAAGAAACGTATGCAGATGTAGATTACCGTGGTGTCTATTATGTCTTATACATTCCAAACAAGTTTTTAATTAAGCACGCTCAGAATTAAAGAATCCTGCCTTGTAATTTGCCACTTTTTGCCTAGGACTAGTTGTAATTGTGCTTTGGCAAGCACCCAAAGGGCAAAACTACCCAAGCTTGTCAGGATCAAGCCCACAGCAAGTGTTGAACTGATATCCTGAGGAATGTGAAATAGGTATGTGAAGAAACTAGGGCATTTCAGAGACCAGTTGTGCCAGCTGATCTCTTTAGGCAAGATCGAGCAGTTGCCTAATACTTCTAAAAGCTCCCAGGGTTGCTCATTTCAGCAAAGAGGGTCACCTCCAGACAACCTATTGAACGTTCATCCTGATTTGTTTGCAGTGAGGTTAGACAAGGTCACACGATGCGACTGTTATTCCACACTGTAGTGTACATTTCCCATCACATTCCCTATCGCAAATAGTCCAGTAATTCTGAGAAGCAGGTTTGTTGCAGAAAAACTCCACATCAATTTCAATTCCCCAATCTGCATTCGATTGCCAGCACAAAGTCAAAGAGAAACTGCATGAATGCCATTCTGTCTGGTCTGCTGCCCTGAGTACTCTGTTTTTACCTACCATACACTTTGGTAGGTGTAACCTGCTTTTACCTACCATTCAGAAAGCGTATCTAATTATTCTGAACCAAAAAGAATCCACAATATTATTTCATTTTATTTCCATTATAAATGTATGGCTTGATCTTTGAGGCACAGTTTGCAGCTTTTGGGGGGAGTTGGTGTGCCAATTTTTCACCCTAGTTCTCCTACTGCTTGATAAACGAATGCTCCCTGAATGGCGCATGAATGACCCCCATCTATCAAAGCAGTAGTAAGAACAGTAACAGCCGTATTTTATATTGATTCTGTACTTTGTCCATAGAAAATGTGTCCTTTGCAAGAAGCAGAACGTCTTATGATGGAAAGTCAAATGAGAAGAAATAATTATATATAATCTGCAAAATTATTCTTCTTAAACCCAACTATGCTCTGGCTGTTCATTTTTAAAAACTGGACTATGTAGTTAGATGCTATTAGAAAATGCTCAGAAACTTGCTGAGTTCTGAGAAATAAAAACCACAGACTGCCAAAATGCAGCTGCATGGAGTCAAATACGCTGGACCCACATATACTGGAAACATCACTTAAGGGGAAAAAATACTGACATTTTTACTGAAAAGTATATGAAACAGATATGGTGGTTACATCTTTTATTGGACGTACTTCTGTTTGAGTAAAGATACACTCTAAAATGAGGAATAACACCCCATCAGACATGAAACAACACAGAGCTTAAAACTGAGGCATAGCGAGGAATACAAATGTGTTGCATTTAAGAGCAGAAATGCAGGGGGAATATTTAAAATATTTACAAATGGGAATAAGAATGTCTCGTGACATTAAGCTCTTGAACACTTAGTTAATCCTTCATATGCCAGAGTGTGATATAATTACACCAGTCCTTAAGCCCTATGGTGGGACGCGGGTGGCGCTGTGGGTTAAACCACAGAGCCTAGGACTTGCTAATCAGAAGGTCGGTGGTTCGAATCCCCTCAAGGGGGTGAGCTCCCATTGCTCAGTCCCTGCTCCTGCCAACCTAGCAGTTTGAAAGCACATCAAAGTGCAAGTAGATAAATAGGTACCGCTCCGGCGGGAAGGTAAACGGCATTTCCGTGCACTGCTCTGGTTCACCAGAAGCGGCTTAGTTATGCTGGCCACATGACCCGGAAGCTGTCTGCGGACAAACGCCGGCTCCCTCGGCCCATAGAGCGAGATGAGCGCCGCAACCCCAGAGTCAATCACGACTGGACCTAATGGTCCTTTACCTTACCTTTTAAAGCCCTATGGTACTATATAAACCATAGAAGCATTTTAATTTAAACATCATAAAGATGGCAAGATTTTCCCCCCCAAAAAAATGCCCCAAAGATTTGATTCCTTTCAACTCATCTTATCCCATGCTGCTTCACAACGACTCATAGCCACCATAAGTTCTTTGCCCCACCTCTTCCAGACTCCAAATATGTATGGTACTCAGTATGCATCCAGATGGCTACTCTTCTGTGGTGATTCACATGCATAGAATCATTGAATTGGAGAGTTGGAAGGAACCACCAGGGTCATCTAGTCCAACTGCCTAGATCGCAGAAATCTTTTTGCCCAATATGGGGCTCAAACCCACAACCCTGATATTAAGCCTCTCATGCTCTACTCTCCTGCAGGCACTCAGCGGAAATGTAGGTATATGCAAATAGTGCTCTGTAAACCTAGGGCAACAAATCCACTTAAAAAGAAAAAGAATTATTGCAGTTAGGAAAGTGATGGAGAACTGCACTGAAAAGTGAGGGATGAATGGATTATTAACACGGAGATGTGCAACTTCCCCCACTCCTGCCCCACCAGCAAGTCAGGATGCATGCTCATTGTCAAATAACTGCACCCTAAACAAATTGGAAGCAATGCTCAATAAAGGCCAGACATAATCTTACTACCATGTAAGCTCTGTTCGAGCAAAACAGGAAGAATGCTGACTAAATAGGTCATCTGGAGGAGACCTGAGTGCTTCTTTTTTTCCAGTTCCACAGCATTACCCATTTCCCTCATTTTACTGTGAATTATCTTAATCTGTCTTTTGATATATAGGCACATAAGGAAGCCTTCTGAGTAATGTAGATTAGTGGCAAGAGTATACTATCCGCATGAACTGGACCACAGGTTTAGTCAACATAGGAAATGCTGAAGTACAGTGGTACCTCGGGTTAAATACTTAATTCGTTCCGGAGGTCCGTTCTTAACCTGAAACTGTTCTTAACCTGAAGCACCACTTTAGCTAATGGGGCCTCCCGCTGCTGCCGGAGCATGATTTCTGTTCTCATCCTGAAGCAAAGTTCTTAACCCGAGGTACTATTTCTGGGTTAGCAGAGTCTGTAACCTGAAGCATCTGTAACCTGAAGCGTATGTAACCCAAGGTACCACAGTACCTCATGAGTGTCCATTGGTCTAACTCTGTGTAAGATTGTCCTGTTTATTCTATTTTTTAAAAAAGCTATTGAGAAAAAGAATGGAGATTGCGCATAACTGCTAAACTTAATCATATACGAACTATCTACCTTATCTGGATTCAAACATATCAAAAATTAGATACCGGCTTTCAGCTTTTCGAGTCCTGACCTTCACCATAAGATACAGGTTCTGAAGTTCTGGTTCATGTGAAACATGAACTTCAGCATTTTAAAAATATGTATTTTGGACTCACCACGGAAATTTGAGCTTCTCTTGATTCAAGAATGTGTTACCTCTCCCCACGTGAATCTCACAATTTTAATGTGCAAGATTCATCACATGTTAGAGTGCTAGGTTTTTTAATTTCACAAAACAGCATTCAGTGAGAACCTGACTAATGGGCTTTTAAACAAGCTGTTCTCAGGGGATGACTGCTTACAGCTTCATCTTGCCAAAGACACCATTCCAATTCTAGTCCTCATAAGCATACACACTGAAGTTTTCTACTACTAGCACTAATTTTTACAGCTTTAATGAAGGAAACACTTGTGTCTAATTTTATTAACGAAAAGAAAAGCTTTCAAGAAGGTGACAGAATTCTTTACTGAACATTTACAGCGGGAGTATTCAGCAGAAATAGAAAACCTTTCACTTAGGCTCCAATCCTAAACACACTTACAATGCACACACTCAATGGATGCAATGGGACTACTTTCCAAGTAAGGAATTGCATTGTGCAGCTGCAATCCTACGTAGACTTAGTAGAGAATAAGTCTATTGAAATCAGTAGGGCTGAATAAACAAGCATAGGAATCTTTGCCCACCTTTGTTTTGGGGAAAGGCATTTACAGGCTGTCTGGTTTGATAACATCACTCTCAAATCACAAAACTCAGAAGTTACAGTAAAGAATGGAATAATAAGAACCTTGATGCAGCTTGACTTGCCTTCTTCCATATTTGAGAAGCACTGTTTTCCATATTGATCGCTACTAGTTCACCACCCAGATAATATAAGCAAGAAATTGCCACACATCACCTATGAGTTTGGCTCAGCCCTGCATGGAAGGCTTACCATCGCACACAGTAATCCACCTATGTCAGAAAATGAAGAAGAATGTGAAAGTGGGTTGCAACTGCTTGCTCCATAGGACTTGGTAACTGAACAGGTGTAATCACACTTGGGAGGAACTGCTCAGCCAAGCACAGATATTTTTAGAAACTGCTGGTGTTCCGAGCAATGAGGAGAGAATGGCTTGCATTATTCAAAATAGTTGAAATCAATGGACTTCAGTCACGTCCATTCATTTCAAGGTGTCTACTTTGAATACGACCACCAACGTGAATTTATTCATCTTCCTGCTTGAGCAGGGTGTGAATGTGTTAGGTACCAGAGGTTTAACGCTGGCATCTTCCACCCACCCGCCCGAGCGATTTACGGATCGAATCGTAACTGTCAGGTTGGGTTCAGCAACCTCTTGCAAACCAGGGATACAACCATCGACGGACACAAAAAATGGATTTAGGATGCTGCACTTTCCCCAAATCTATGCAGGAAAGCACGCACCTCACCTGCTCTTTTCTGTTACTCCTCCTGCCCTTTTGCATGCAAAGTGGGAGAAAGGAAAGGAAAATAACTTGGTGCCAAAGAGGTCTTCCTTGCAGCCAGGTCCGTCCATCTAACTAACATAAATAAACAGCATTCCGGAAGGCTGGGAGGTAATCAGGAGGCAAATCCTGCCGTAAGGGGCGATTTAATTCACTCTTTTTTTCTTAACTTACCGGAGGAAATCGAGGAGCCCGACAAACTGGAGTTGCTGGAGGTGGCCATCCTCTTTCTCTTGGGTTCCTTAGTGACTAGCCCAGGTGCTGCTACTGCTGTTGCTGCTCTCCGGCTGCCGCCCCCGACCCATTGCAAAGTGCCGGAGCCGCGCTGAGCAAAGCAGCAGCAGCAACAGCACCCGCTACTGCTGCTGCTGGCACCGGGGCTCGCCTTGCCGCCCAGCCAAACAACGTGCTGCTGCTGCCGCCGCTCCGCTCGCGCCCCTTTCAGCCTCCGCGAGGCGGTGGAGAAGCCGCCCGGGCTGCCCGGCGAAGGGCCCCGGCGCTGCGTCCAGTTCCTTTCTCTCCGCCGGAGAGGAGGAGGAGGAGAGGAGAGACTCTGGAGCCGCCCCGCCAGCTCCCTGCCTTCGCCTTTCCCCCTTCCCTCCCTCCGCCGGAGCGCCTGACTCTTGACAAGCGAGGGAGAGAGAGCGGCTCCACCTCCTCCGCCGCCTCAGCTCCCCTCACTCGCGCGCGCACACAAAGGAAGCGGAGGAGAGGCGCACGGGATGCGGGCTGCTGCCGCTGCTGCCCTTGCCCTCAGGGCGGGCTACTGAGGGCGCCCAGCCCGAGGCGGGAAAACAAGGCGAGCGGCCGAGCGCTTGCAAGCGGGCACCGGCGGCGCTGACCCAGCGGGCGCCGCTCCTTCCATGTGCCAAGGCTGGTCCAGCTGCGGGAAGCCGAGGCTGCCGGTCGCGCCGCCTCCGGGCGGGGAGGGGCGGACGGGGGTGGGGTGGGGAGGCTAAGCCCGAGGAGGCGCTTCCTCAGGCGGCTGGCGCTGGTGTGGAACTTCCCGGCTCTCGTGCGGAGGGAGAAAGGATCCTGCCGCCTCCGGGCTAGGGCTCGCGCTTCTCTCTCCTCCTCCCCCCCCCCCAGAAGTCTTCTTTCATAATTTACTTTATGGGAGTCTCTCTCTCGGCATCTCCCACTCCCCCAAGCACACTTCCGAACAAACATAACAAGCTGCGTTTGCCACAAGAGCATAGGAACATGCTGTCCTCTTTCGGTAAAACTAGCAGCCTTTTGTTTAGGTGTCCCTGCCTTCCTTCAGTTACCTGAAGGGTTTTCCCTCCCTCGGAGAGGCAGGGCAGCCCTTCGCTGTGGGGATGCTGTTGCCTCCGGATTGCCTAGATCAAAAAGGAGGGCTGGCCTGCAAGAGCCCCCTCTGCAACTCTTCTTGCCAGTTGGGGTCGATCAGTGTCGGATTTACGTATAAACTGAACAAGCTATAGCTTAGGGCCCCCCCCAACCCTAACCCCCCAAAAAATTAAAGGAGAAAAACAACTGGATGTACATTCTCGAAATATAAGATAAAAAACAAATAAAATAAAACCTACATACAGCAACAGTGTGTTGTGTTGTTTTGGCTCCTATGGTGTAAGTAATGGGCCCTGCCTGCTCCTTAAAATATCACTGGTTTGCTCATTTCTATATATAGAGTGCCTACATTCTGCATGGACTTGTTGCATGGCAACATGTGCAAATGGCTTTAGATACCTATTAGGTCCACCCATATAGCATATATTCAATACAAAAAAACAGCGACAATTTGTTGTTGACAAAGGACAGCTGAACATATAAAGGGCCCCATTACTTCAGTAGCTTAGGGCCTCATCAAACCTAAATCTGGCCCTGGGATCGATTCCCTCCATTGCAAGCACTGCACATGGTCTTATTTATATATGATATGATATGATATGATATTATAATTTCTTTATACTCCTGTAATAGTGGCCGTGCTCATTCATGAGGAAGGCTTCGGGAGTAAACGTGAGGGAAAATCCACACCCGCTGCCTTGCAGGACATCTTTGGGAGAAGAAAAGGCTATGGAAGAAACCCTACACAAATCCGGAATGGAGGCTGGATGGTGCCTTGTTCACCTCCTTCTGGCAACTAGCTGCAGCCAGGCTGGTGTCAAACATATCTCTGCTTTCCTTTGGACCTTATCAGCAAGGCCGAGAAGACAGCCCAGGACCTCCATACACACTGCCCAGGCTTGCAGGGAGGCCACTTTTTGTGCCACTAAAACAACACAGGAAGCAGCAGTTACAAGCTGCCAGTCTCTGCAGCCACAGCAGCTGCTGTGATTCTCCAGCGGTTTGACTGGATTAATATACTGTATTTAAGATAATCTCCCCAACCAAAAAAACGATCAGTTTAGACATGACTTACCGTACATTAACATGCCTTTGTACTGTCTACAGCACACCTATGACTGCAGAATATGTCCCAGATATAGTACTGTAGTTTTGACAGCTAGAATACCTCCTTTGGTTACTGTTATTGCTACATTTTGAAAGTTAAATTTAAACACCTAAGAAGAACCCTGCTCCAGCATCCTGTTCACAGTAGCCAACCAGTTGCCTCTAGGAAGTTCACAAGAAGGACATGAGCAGAGCAGCGGTGCCCCTGTTTGTTCTCCTCAGAAACAGGTATTCAGAGACATACTGTATCTGATCCTAAAGTCAAAGGAGCCCTTCCAAAAAAAGAAAAGGGAGGAAGGGGTTTGCTTGTTTGCAACTCTAACTGTAAAATGAAATGCAGATGCAAAGTGGCCAGGAAGAATCTCACAAGAGCCATGCTACCTTTTTTTGATGCGCTGTTTCAATTCCCAGAATTTAGCCTTGGGAAATTTACATATAATGATGTTCTCGGCAATACTGACATCCAATACAGGCCTCAAAATCTTTTCCAGAAGAAGCTCATTTTAGTTTTTCAGTTCGTAGACTGCAGAAGTTTCCTCCACAACAGGCATTAAGCTGTGACTGCCATTTGAACACAGAGTGCTCTTTCCCTGCCTTCCATTGTATCTTTTGAAACTGCCACCACGCACCTTTTTATTATTAATATATTATTATTAAATATGCATACCGCTCTTCATCTAAAGATCACGGGGCAGTTCACAAAATGAAAACACAAAATATATAATAAAATAAAAACAAAAAAATAAGGCTGAGATCTGACAATGAAATATATGTGCTTGCTTTGCTAATTGCTAGCCCTTCCCTGATATGTACAATAGAGCACTGCTTTATTTCTAATTGAATGAAACACTGTCTGTATAGGGAACAGTTATGGAACAGTTCAGGAACCCCTCTGGTGGCAGTTCAGTATAGCTCATGCAATACACTATTTAGTTATTGGTAATGTCTGCTACCACACCAGGTTCAAGGTTCTGGTAGTAATACACAAAGCCCTGAATAACTTAGGCCCAGGTTCCCCTGTACAGCCCAAGTCAATTGCTTTATGGACCAGAAGCATGACTCATGTCAATGCAGAGTTTTGCTTTCAGTGTTGTTTGTGGGTCCATCTATATGAAGTTAGATAGGCACAGTCCCTACTGAGATGCATGGTCAAAATGGTTTTACAGTCGTACCTTGGTTTTCAAACAGTTTAGTTTTCAAATGTTTTGGCTCCTGAATGCTGCAAACCCAGAAGTGCCTGCTCCAGTTTGTGAACTATTTTTGGAAGTCAAACGTCCGACGGGGCTTCCGGAGTTTCTGATTGGCTGCAAGAGCTTCCTGCATCCAATCAGAAGTCGTGCTTTGGTTTCCGAATGTTTTGGAACTTGAACGGACTTCCGGAACGGATTCCGTTCAACTTCCAAGGTATGACTGTATTTCAAAAAGCCTTTACAACCTGAATGCTTCTCAAATGTTCTGTTTTTTTTATTTTTAGGGAAATAGATTTCAAAGACAGGAGTGCCTGGCGTGCTCTGGTCCATGGGGTCACGAAAGAGTCGGACACGACTAAATGACTAAACAACAGATTTCAAAAGAAAAACCTGCACACACAACACAAATAGCATCCATATTAAGTGGGAAACATTCAACATCATGAAATCGATGGGTCAAAGAAAGTCACAGCAGACTGCTAAAAGAAACAAAAGGTAATCTCAGTATGAATAAAAATGCAAATTAGTTTGTTGTGCAATATAATAAACAGTCTTCTCTGTTAACACTTTACTGCACAAGTTACCAAGGGTAATCTCTAAAGTGACATCTTTGCTACCAACAGTTTGAAAATGCCCATGGGGCTTTTCCAGACAATCAGTCAATAACACATGCTGCAGTGTTTTAAAAGTCCCTTCAAATGTCAATAGCATAATATCCCATGTGGACAATAGCCATGCTGGTGCAGATCCCTTTGACTTAGTTAAATGAGGGAGGCTGAGCAGAACAGGTAGATTACCTGCTTCCAAATTAACGATTCACACAACTCTCTTTTTCTTCATACTGTATATCTCTGGTTGAGTCCTCTGAAGCTGAAGATATACAGCAGCAAGAGCATACCACCTCAAGTATAGAAAATAATGCAGTCACGTGCAGAGAGGAAATTAATGCTGTTCACTTATGACATCATATATAAGCGCCTTCTCTACGGTGGCACCTTGAAATGATGGAGTTTGTAATTTAGTTATATTCCCTTAGTATTAAGAAGTTCCCCTGAAATTCACATGAGCCAGTTCCAGAGGCATTCAAGTTGCTGCAAAAGTTTTGCATTAAAGGCTCTGAAGAATGAAGTTGCTTCAAGTCATTCCCTCATTCCTCTAGCTTGACTGTAGACCAGTTACAGACCTGGTTTATAAATCTCCTTATCCTCAGAGGTGAGTGAAATCACTATATCTTTCTATGCAGCTTGAAGATGTTCCTCTTTGCCCAGACCTTTGCAGGGCTCTGAGCTTTTGTATCCAGCTGTGAAATGATTAGTGCAGGCTTGTTGTATCGCTGAGATTGTACTGGAGCCTTTAACTGTGATATATGGTTTTAATTTTTGCTGTTTCAATGGTATTGGGATTTTCTATTGTTAGCTGCCCTGAGATCATATGTGATGAAGGGTGGGACAGAAATGAAATGAGCAGATAAATAATAAAATTAATAAATATAATGTCCAAATAAGTTCCTATTTACATTCCGCAGTCATAATTAATTTGCTATATATTGGGTGTAAGCACTGCATTTTTCCTAAGGTTCAAATTGCTGTGATTTGAGTGCAGGGGAAATGCGATGTCCTTAACAACGGAATCACAGCCTCGAGGCAAGACTAGTAGAGGGCACAGAGAGAAAGAAATGTACATATATTTCACACAGAAAACAATGTGCAGAAAGGCCCACCGAGAAGCAATATTGGGAGAATCAAGTAAAAGCATGAGATGTGCATTTTGTGAAACTCAGAGAACCTTTTCATCAGCACTGCATATCTACTCCTTGCATCTAATGTCTCCAAAATTGTCTATAGCAATTTCCTGGCCTTGCTGCATCTCCTACCTGCATTTCCAAAGCATTACTAGGGGAGTGTATATGAGGGTGTGCATCAATATCTATGCCACACAGCAGACATGGTGCCAAAACTGCATTGACATTATGCCAGCATTGCAGCCTGACTACAGAAGCACAAAGGTTTTGGATCAATTTGCTGATACTCTGTTCTGGGTGCCCTGAGATTGAATGTCCTTCCCCACATCACCGATGGATATATCCCTTCTATATTTAACACTTTCTCTTTTGCAAGCTATGAGTTTACTGACAGACTGGAAAATAAATATGTTCCTCAATCTGATGTTTACTTCTGTTGGTGTTAATTAACTCATTTATTTCAGCTCTATTTTTAAATTCAGTTTATCGGTCAAATCCAGCCCATGACTAGCTGTGCAAGCCAATTCACCCATGCACCTTCTTGTCAATCAACTT